GACATGCGTAAATTAATTATTTATAAACGATTATTCATTAAAAACAAACAAATGTTAGCTATTTATCCTACCTTATTTGATGTTAAATTATTATTTGTCATTTATTAGAACACTTGTGACTTCCGGAACCTAATCTGATTGATATTATACAGGTATTAACTTGCAACAGGAAGTCAATAGTATTACCTACTATTTGTAGAATTTTATTAAATTGGTAAAATATTATTTTGTACCTAAATATTGAGACACTACTGACTTTCGGATCCTAATTTGATTTATATTCCATAAAATGTCTAGATAGTCATTGTTTGAAATATAAGAATTGAGTTGATGTTACCCGAAAGTCAGGCCACGTTTTGTTTCTTTGTTGAACCGAATGTATAAGCACATGTCTTTGAATCGTTAGTTTAGTTCTTTACAATAAACGTAATAAGTCGCTACTCCTCCCGTTTAATTCCTAAAATCACCCTGATTGATATTACAAATGATATTAAAACGTACATTAACAAGTATTAATAATTTGTCAAGTCAAAAAACGTCCTTAGGGTCAACTGCACCCACGTCAAGGCCTTCACACTTGACCATTGATTAACGACCTTGTTACTTTGATTAACACTATCGTACGCATGCGCAGATGTATTTGATAAATACAGTTTTATGAATAAAAATACCATTAATGTTAGCCTGTAGCTAAAAATCGATACTTATTGAAGGTATGCTAAGCATCTGATTATTAAGAGCAACACTATTGCAAAAATGTTTTTAATTACTTATTAAGCAATTAATGTTTTTAAGTATAACAATTAACATCATGCTCTTAATGTTTTGCAACTGATTGATTATTATTATAACAATGATTCCGAAATCAAATCAAAATAATAATACCACTAAACAACTCAATTAAAAAAGGATTTACAATCAAATCGATACTAAAGTCCCACAGGAATATCCACCACTAGATTCTCTCAAAAAATTATTTATCGATATTCATCGATTCGAAATCGATAACAGAGCTAGATGGGCATCCCTAGCTCATAATCGCTAAGCTCTCTACCCCGACCGTAATCACCACTATAGATTCCACTCTGGGCCTAAATTGCTATCTATAAAAGACACATTGGCCCAAAAGTACCGATTCACCTTAACCCCCCAACCACAATAGCCTTATAGCCAGAATAATAAACCCTATGCTTTGTTTAGAAGACGTTTTTATTGAATGCCTAGTGGGTAACCGACCTGGAGCAAGTAACGCCTCAGAATCAATTATTTAAACAATTTTGTACAAAAATGTGTTTGTGTTTTGGATGTTATCATAAGTGTTCGGGGCTGAAATATCGGGTCATAAGAATATATCTGTTCAGGCCAGTTCGTATAATAAATTGCTGTACATGTCTATCATCTACGACCAATGGAGTCATGTAATGACGTCTGCCAGTTTGTAATTGCACAACTATGTCAAGTCGAAAGTCAAAAATCAAAATCATTTATTTCATTAACTAGAGGTAAAATTGCAGGTTACTCACGTGAATATACTAAGAAAATCTCTACTAGTTTCGAACCACAGAGGGGTTCTTCCTCATGAGCAGCGTGCGCGGTCGCGGCGACGTCGCGCAGCTCACTGAGTGTGCCCAGTAACCCCCGATTTTAGTTAATTTAGTATGTCTCACGATAGTTATTATAAAAACATCATTTATTTCAATTAGACCAAGAAGACACTTTTGAACGTCAAAACCAAATAATGAAATATTAAAAAGAATATCAGTCTGTCGGTCAGTTCTCTAGTGAAGCTATTTGCTTGTTCCAAAGTGTAGATTCCTATGGAGAAGAACGAGCAAGAAACTCTTTAGGTTTTTTTTTCAATCAGGTTCACAAGAATATATGAAGCATGTTATATAGGTAGGTATCAGATTTAATCTCTGAATCGAGCAAAATACTTTAGAACCCAAAAATTTGAAGCAATAAAAATTTGACAACATCCAAATTGATTACCAAGAATTATTATCATATCGTTATGATGATCAGCTCGCCTAGTACTGACATAGGTCTTTCAAACAGCATACTTATTTTTTATCAAACCCCAAAACCTTGACTCCCAATCCATCATTAAGTATTCCAGCCAGATCTTCAGTAATATAATCTAGATACTCGTACACGTTAACTAGAATTAAATTAACCTTACACTAGAGTACGTGATCTTGGAGATGAGACTCCAGTTAACTGTTTATTATCGCTTATTGATATTAGATTCTGTACTTGATAATTGATGTGGGTTAGATTGATTAAACTTATGTAAAGTACCAGTTTCTACTATCGACTTCGCTTGCGTGTCCGTGGGATAAAAAGTAGCCTATATGTTGTTCTAGAGCATAATACAATATGATAGTGGGGCCCAATAGGGCTGATACCGATACAGAGCCGTGGAGGACTTAACGGGTTACCGGGGCTCCGGTTCGAAGTGCAGGAGTAGGTACGGGATGGATTTTAATCTGTAAGAGTAACACCCTCTCCCGCCTGGGTGAGGCGGGAGAGAGTGTCGGACTCTTCATAATCATTCATTTATTCGATGATTTAGCCCCCTTAAAAAATGAATAAAAAAGCCAACCCAACAAGCAGGTTGAACCAAAATTATTATGAAATCACAATACACATTTGCTACGAACATAACACGTGGTCTAAGTATCAAATTATTTCAATTCTGTGTCGGCATTTTTCCAGGTCTCGGCCAACGTACCGGCGACGTTGGCGACGTAAACATTGACGTACGAATTAACAAATACATTGCAATACTATCACGCGACAGTTTTCAAGGTACCTAAATTCGATAATTGACTGCCTCATTGGCCGAGTAGTCGCAAGTACAACTGCCGGGCAAAAGGTCTTGGGTTCGATTCCCGGGTTAATCAAAGTATTACTGCGTTTTTAAAAAAATTCTCAGTAGTACCACGGTGTTTGGAATTGTGCCCGGTATATGGCAATAGGATCACCCCCTATTACATGGGACTCATAACATAAATGGTGAAAAGTGGGTGTTACATTGTACAGTGGCATTAAGGGCCGTAATGTGCACCTCTGCCTACTTCGGGGATAAAAGGCGTGATGTCATGGTATATTATGCTGAGTTCGATAAATAGATAACATAATAATATCACCTGTACAGTACAGTAAGTATTACATTCGTTTTATATTTAGTCCTATTTCACTAAACTTATTTTAATAAGGAGCGAGACTATTGTCACGGGCACAATTTTAGACTTCGAGCTAGAACTGAATCTTTGAAGTCAAGTAAAGTGTGTTCTTTAGTTATCTCCTTATTCTTCTGACGTCATTTTACTCTATAGTGTGTCTGCCTATTCCAAGGAGAAAATGCGTAACTTTATTACCTGACGAAGAATTATGAATATGAGATGCGGTTTGTACACTGAATTGGAAACGGTTTTAGGCAAATTAATGAAAAGAACTCGATATAAGATATTTTTCGAAACTATTTCACGTTTTGTTTATGAATTACCTGATGTATTCTCGCTATATTACTTAGATTTAGATCAACGTAGTGACTTCAAAGACTCATTACAATTTTAAGTGTGGGAGAGCCATGCTTCGATACAAATGGGCCGGCTCTTCCAGAGTGATACCACAACCATACAGAAAATCAACGTGACGTTTCGTCGAGTGAGTGAGGTTACCGGAGGCCCAATTACCCTCCTTCCCCAATCTCGCAATCTCTGAGGACTGTTGCGGATCCAACAGTCCTCAAATTCCTAATCCCCAATAGGCCGGTAACGCACTTGTAACGCCTCTGGTGCTCCGGGTGTCCATGGACGACGCCGATTGGCTACAGGTAATCCGTCTGCTTGTTGGCGTATTCTATCACTCACTATATTACTCAGATTCAAAATCGACATAGTAACTTCAAAGACTAATTACAGCATTTAACGAACAAAATCGTGAGAAACTCCTCCAGAAACACTAAGTTTATCTACGTTTAAACTCATTACAAATAAAGTCAATGTCAAACATGTCATTATAAGGTTCATATAAATATTAGTAATCACTTCTAAAACATCGTAGTACGATGAGTAAATGATCGACTGCCGATCTACTATTAGAAGGTTTAAATCCACTTCTATTTGTGTAAACAATTTGGTATTTTGCTTGTTTTTCTAGTCAAATAACAAAATTAGTTTGTAAACAAATATTTAGATGTTTGGCTTATAAATAAATGCTGAAGATGTTAATATTTTACTGTTTTAAACAGGTTTCTCAAAATTAATTTAATTAACTCGTCGAGTACCGGTTTTATAGACACAATTAAAGAACAATAGGTCGCGGTCACCGGTAACCGCTTGGTGTTTGACAGTTTAATAAATAGTTAATACTCCTTTTTAAAAGGCTGGCAAAGAACCTGTGACTCCTCTAGTGTTGCGGTTGTCCATGGGCGACGCTGATCGCTTACCATCAGGTGATCCGTCTGCTCGTTTGCCTCCTATTCCATAAAAAACAACTTATTTAAAAAAAGTATCTTCACAATATAGGGCCACTTCTTTTCTAAAATCAGTAAATAAAATTATTGCAAGGACATTTTCAAGAACTAAAAACCTATGACCATAAGTATAAAAAAATATTTTGAGTACCTAAAACCTCAGTTCGTAATCATCAGTGTCATTACTACGTCGCACATTCCGCTAACAGAATTATGCCGTCAAAATAATGACGTGACGACAAGTAAATAATTCCGACCCACCCACAAAAATACGTCATAATCAAAACAAAAAACAACTGGCACTGTCATATTGTCACTTAAAATTTAATTGTCAAATCGATTAATTTACAAATAGTATCAAAATAAAAAATCCCAATGGATTAATTAATTAATTCATGATACATATAAAATTACCCAATGCTATTGTCCTATCTGTTGGGTTATAGTGACAAGTACGTACGTTCAGATCGGTTCAGATATACCCGCGAATTGTCCGCCGCCCGTCATACAGTGTAACATCATGGCGCCGCGCGCATGCGCACTATTGCTCCTCGCGATCGCAACCGTCGCTGCGCGGGAGTGCATCGAGTTAACACTAGCAGACAAAAGTTTACTCACAGATTCGATATTGAATGGTACTATATTAAAACTAGCCGCGAAAAATGAAAGTTTCGATGAAAGTGGACGGTTTAATATTGTGAAATTGTGGGAACAATTCCCTAAAGTTGTGGTGCCCAGTAATGGGACAAGCGAGCAATGCCGACGGGACAGCCAGCTGTACTTAGACAGTTTGGACCGACTGGAACTATGGGCCCTAAAAAGTAAATATTTACCTTTTTTATTATTTTTTTTATAAGGGTAGTTTCATAATAAATTGTCACGGAATAGTAAATTCAATTTGTCAATATCGCAATAGTGATGTTAGAACGTCATCCATATCCTAAAATTATATCCGCATGTGAAATTCGTCGGCCATTGTATCCGCAGTTTTATGGTGATACCATTTTTCTTCACTTAAGTATACGATTAAAATAATTACTCACTAGTTATTAAATGCACAAATTAGAATTACATTCTCTTTATTACTAAACACGTACGCTGATTTATTTTTAATAATTATTAATAAAAGTAGATATATTATTATGCAGATAATTATAAAATTAGGTTAAAACGATCGATTTCTTGTGTATAAAATAAAAACTATTTTTTCTTCCATTTCATAAATCTCAATCTCTTACATAAAATAAATAAGCATATTTAATAAATTACAGATGAATAAACAAGATTATCATGAAATAACACATTAATATTTTTATAATTATTGTAAACAACAACATATTAAAATACTTTAATTTATGTTATAATAATATAACGAAAACACTACCTACCGTTTATTTTATTAACGTATAACAAGTTTATTTATAATTTAGATAAAATGTATTATAAATAAACTTTGACAAAACATTCATTTTCAAAGGAAAGGTTAACAGAAATGTACAGAATTATATCAAGGTCGTTTCATATGAATGAAAGTAGTATACTATAAAGTTCTTAAACATATAAACATTTCGTCATACATCAGATAGTAATTTTTTCGCTGACGAATGTCTAGGTCGATACCCAAAGAGTTTGTGCCAAAATATAAATTAAATGTCAATATTAATGATATATTCAATCATTTGTAGATTATTATTGTAAGTTTAAATACATAGTAACAATTCGTTTACGTTTAATATTTTGGTTTTAGAGTCATGTATTTTATATTTGACCTTCCTTTTTTAACCTCTTGACTTTTGTGTTAGATGAGACACAGTAGAAAATATACTGTGCTAAATCTATGTTATCTATGTTATTCTTCTTAATACATTTATTTATTTTGATATCTTTCCTAGACGTATAAGAACAGTATAGATTCTTGCACATCAATCTATAGGGCTGATGCCGATACGGAGCCGCGGAGGACTTAACGGGCTACCGGGACTCCGGCTCGAAGTGCAGGAGTAGGAACGGGGTGGTTTTTAGTCAGTAATAGTCTGACACTTCCTCTCGCCTCACACGGGCTCCCGCCCATTGGGTGATCGCCCCCCCCCCTCCCCTCAAAAAAAGCTAAAACTGTCCAATACCACCAATACATTTCTAGTTTTATAATTTTGGATACCAGGACACCATGTGACTGCAGTAAGTAAATACAGTGATAGTAAAAACAACCTCGACTTATTACAAGCGCATCGCGATTTCGGACAAGAGGTAGGCCGTGCTCTAAAATCCGTGAAGGAAAACATCTTCGTGAGAAAACCGGCATGACATAGACGTAACTGGATATATGTATGCTCACGCGGTCGATAATGTCTTGTTAAACCAAAATTGTTATTATCAGCTATTCTTTTCAAATAAGTTCTTTCAGAAATCTTGATTACAATATTTTAATAGCATAGGTACCTGCTTGGATTAAATCATTATTAATTTAATTTCTATTTCCCTAATAAAAATATTGTAGAGGTAATAGCATTAAAAAGTCAAAATAAAAGCATTTATTTCATTTACCATATCACCATCATAATTTGGTACTTTTGAAAATTTGTCATTGTGGCATATGAATCGATTTTACTTCATTTTTATAATAACTATCGTGAGACATACTAAATTAAGTAAAATCGCGGGTTACTCACGTGAATATACTGAGAAAAGCTCTACTAGTTTCGAACCACAGAGGGGTTCTTCTATACTTCACTTTACGTGCTAACAAATACATATGTATATTATGACTATAGTTTAAAAATTCATTGCTGATTAACTACTTAAGCTTTAATTTATGAAAAACTCATCTTTTACGACAATGAACACCAAAAATGGAGCTAGGACTGTACAAAATTTCTATTACAAAGCCTACCCAAAATATCGATATCTAATGAATTCAAAAGTAAATACAACACTATCTTGTCTACTGTTCAGTAGCAATGTTTGGCTAATGTTGCAATTTTTGAACGATAATACTTTTTCCTGTTGACTCAGTACATTTTGACTGGAACAGTCAAACTTGTGTAGCAAAGGATAATGTACCAAATTGCTTAATACTTTACGAAATATAATTGCACTTAACTCAGTTTTTACGTCAATTTTAACTAAGGTGCCTACATTATGAATGTAAGCATTGCACAACTTGCGAATAAAAATGTAAATATGATTTGTGTAACACAAGAATTGTTATATTATTTGTGTTTAAGAGAAAAGAGCCAGTCTCTTCCAATTATTTAATACTCGACGTGAAATTAAATATCGGATTTCGACTGCCGGGCAAGAGGTCTCGGGTTCGATTCCCGGGCAAAGTATCACTGGGTTTTTTTCAAAATTCTCAGTAGTAGCACGGAGTCTTGAATTGTGCCCGGTATATGTCAATAGGCTCACCCCCTATTACATGGGACTCATAACATAAATAGTGAAAAGTGGGTGTTACATTGTACAGTGGCATAATGTGCACCTCTGCCTACCCCTTCGGGGATAAAAGGAGTGATGTTATGTTATGTTAGAAATTCCCAATAACAACGCCACAGGATTTGAAAATGTACCGAAAGGAGCGTTCCGTATTGAGATTCTGATACTTGATATGAGCATCTCTCCCTAACATTAAAGGAACATCATCATCGAGGATCAAAGTAAGCAATATCATGTGTTATGTGTAGTAAAACATACGAAAATTTTGTTCTGAAATAATCCAAGTACCTATTAATGAAAAGTTTTTTATTCCAATCCCCATCGACTAGAGACAGTGATAAAAACACTAGAAACATCGTCACATCAACAAAATTAGCTAACGATATACTGTGCTGACTCAAATCATTTTGAAACCCAGCTATGATCATATTACAATTATTTACCTACTTGATAATATAGTGTCAAAATAGTATTTCGAAAAAGGCTAATTTCGCAGTCAACATAAAATGTTAGCTGGATGTCTACTCGTACAATTTTCAATTAGTACCTTGTCATTATAATTTGTATTAAGCTTTTTTTTTTATTTTAAATATACTATTTTATTAATTTGACAACCAGGGTTATAATCGTATAACCCTTCAAAAAACGACGTAAGGTAACAGTTTGACACGTTTAATAATATTTAACACATTTATTTAGGTTAATTTACAAAACAGTATTTAGCAAAATTATAATATTAGTATTCCAAAACATTAAATACCTTTTAATTTTTAAAATAAAATAATTGTTAAAGTATTCGCTATTTTCCAATGTCCCTGGTGTAGATATCAAATTTTTGTTTCATAAATTCGTATTTCAGTAACAAAATTTTTTTCTCATTTCATTGAAAACACCACAGCTTGTCAAATAATACCGAAATGACTAAAAATGAATAAAAAAATCGTAGTTTTTTGTCTCTTATATATTTTGCAAGTGGAATGTATTTTCGGATGTTCCTATTTTACTCGTTTTAACATTTCATTTGTTTACAATTGCGAAAAATAAAACATAATATTAAATGTTTGCTAATATATTTTTATGTAAAAGTGCAATGAGCATGAGATGACATGGACGCCACTGCATGGCGTCCATGTCATCTTAATCGATTGTTATAAAACGTAGTTAGTTGCATTATTTCACGATCATTCATAAAGTTCTATCATTACAATGGAGTACGTAACAGCTCATTAGATAATCACAATCCGTAAAGAATAATAGAACTAAGTAATATAACACAAAATTTTTACTATGCAAACCCGATATCTAACTGCAAAACGCATTTTCGGATGCTAATAATAAATGATTCAAATAATAAAAATAATCATATTCATAAAAGGACTAATAGAATAACACATTATTATTATTATATAAACAAATTCTATAAATGTTACAATAGAATAAATCTATATTATTTATGCAAAAAACGATGCCCCAATCTCAATAAAATTAGCTATGTTTCTTTGTTTGTTGGCGTGTGTAGTTTCTTAAAATATTTTCCGGAAATTTTAAATAATAAATAAACCAGTTTAACTTATAACGTTGCGTTACGTTATTCGCTAACCGATAAGGGAATTTAATAATAATATTTAATTTTATTGGCCGAGTGGTCGCAAGTGCGACTGCCGGGCAAGGGGTCTCGGGTTCGATTCCCGGGTCGGGCAAAGTATTACTGGGTTTTTAAAAATCTCAGTAGTAGCACGGAGTCTGGAAAAATGTGCCCGGTATATGGCAATAGGCTCACCCCCTATTACATGGGACTCATAACATAAATAGTGAAAAGTGGGTGTTACATTGTACAGTGGCATTAAGTGCCGATATGTGCACCTCTGCCTACCCCTTCGGGGATAAAAAGGCGTGATGTTATGTTGTTAATTTTATTAATATATTTTGGTTTAACATAAATGAATTTAAGAAAACAAGTTCCTACAATAACAGGGCAGATAATAAATCGATTAAAATTTACCTAGGTATGTCAAATATTTTGAACAATAAAAAAAGGTTTTTCTTATTTTGCTGGGAAAATATATTTTCCGTAATTTTAACGTTGACGCGGATGAGTCACTGCTGGGTTGGTTTACTACTTAATTAAAGGCATGTAGATCATGAAGTCCATGTCTTGATTCCCGTTAAATAACATCTTTTGACTGCCTCGTTGGCCGAGTGGTCGCAAGTGCGACTGCCTGGTAAGGGGTCTCGGGTTCGATTCCCGGGTCGGGCAATGTATTACTGGGTTTAAAAAAAAACTTAGTAGTAACATGGAGACTTGAATTGTGCCTGGTATATGGCAATAGGCATAAATAATGAAAAATGGGTGTTACATTGCACACCGGCACCAAGTGCTGCAATGTGC